TTAGTGATCTCGGTACAAATTTAAATGAATTTAGCACTTTTGCTCTTTAAGATGGAATTAGGAGAAGTATCTTTTTAGTCTTGACTCATGTGTTGCAGATTGCTTGCTGGAATGTGGTATAAGTATTCGTAAAATTTGGACTTTACACTAGAATGACTCTAGTGGAAGGCCAGAGGAGGCCATGAAGTTGCTAAGAGGACTGGAGGACCTTCCCCATGAAGACAGGCTGAGAAAGCTGGGGCTGTTCAGCGTGGAGAAGAGAAGGCTGCGTGAAGATCTCATTGCAACCTTCCAGTATCTGAAGGGGCTGCAGGGAAGCTGGAGAGAGACTCTTCGTTAGGAACTGCAGTGATAGGACAAAGAGTAATGGGTGCAAATTGAAGGAGGGGAAATTTAGATGACATTAGGAAGAAGTTTTTTAATGTGAGGGTGGTAAGACAGTGGAACTGGTTGCGTATGGAGGTTGTGAATGCCCCAAACTTGGCAGTGTTCAAAGCCAGGTTGGATAAGGCCTTGAGCAACCTGGTCTAGTGGAGGTTATCTCTGCCCGTGGCAGGAGGGTTGGGACTACATGATCTTTAAGGTCCATTCCAATGCCTTAACATTCTATGATTCTATGACTTGTTATGCTTATATTTCTCATCTGGTTTTACTTCATTAAGAGTATGTAAGACAGCTTTTGGTCCTCATCAGTTAGAATTCTAACATACATGGAATGAGCAGAATGATAATGGTCTCGGTTGAAGCTGTTTGTTCAGAGTTTGGAAACTGATACCTAGTTGATAATTGGAAAGCCTTTCTCTTCTTTTGCTATCTTTGAAGCAAGGCTGAGCAGGTGAGATCTGCTAATTAAGAAGCGCAAAAAAAGTTTAAAGCAGTATGTAGAGATGAAACAGGTGCAGGTAGGGGACTTGGAAGAGTCTTTTGGTGTTTTTTAACAGTACTGTCTAGTATACATCTGTGTGATTTTGCACTTAAATACATCTTGATAAAATGATTAATGAAAACCACTAGAATTGTGCGTGATATACTCACCATATGTTCTTGTTTGCTTAAAAAACTATTCTAGAATAATGAACATCTAAGTCAACTTGTCTGTCTTGGTTTATCAGAGTAGTTAAGTGAGACAAGATTAAAAATAACTTAGCTCTCTTAGATCCTCTTTCGTTTTTTCAGTGCATAATTCAGACTTTTAAAAAAATATATTTCTTAAATTATGGGAAATTACATTTGCGTGAGTTTATATATTTAGTACAAGTAAATATAAAATAAACACAACACAGAATTTTTATGTGTTTGTTCAAGTACTTTTTATACAGATGTGAATCTTTTTGACAAAATTACTAGTATGAGTGTAAAGATGGATTTATTTGTAAGTAACCATTTGAGTGTGTTTCTGTCAAACATCGAGGATGAGTATCTTTTGATCACTAAAAGGTACAAGATAAAACAGATAAAAGTAATTGTTAAAAGTAAGATTTGGTGTGTGCTGTTACAGGCTGTGGTTTAACCATGATCTAATAACTTCACATTATGCAAATTTAGTGGATGCTGTGAAATCAGGGTGTTTCTGGGAATGTGCAGGTATTTTGAAGCTGTCTTTCAGATGTATATATGTCTTTATTTCACTAAAAGGCATTTTTTGTTTTTATTACGCATGGCTTTCATGGTTTTTCTCTTAAATGTAAAGAATTATACCACAGGCAGCTTTCTCTTTTGACAGAGATAAATTAGAAGCAGAGAACAAACTGTACATTTGCATATGCTTTTCCTCTGATGTTTGACTATGGAAGTAGTATATAGGGATATGACTGCATATATTATGCAACTCTGGGAATTGTCATCTCTTGGAGAGCCTAGCCAGTAAGGATAAAGTTAGTTTTCAGTACGTGAATGTAATTTTTAATAGATGCACATTATTTGCTGAGGTGGGTCCCAGAAACAATGTGGGGATGCCTTCTGAGGAAAAACTGTGAAATTCATGTTGAGTTTAGCATTACATGACTGCTTATTCCTTCTTAGTATGTGTGCTGTGCTTTTGAAATCATACAGATACTGGAATTATTTCTTTCCTGCTTCTGTTTCTTAATGAATTCAATGATTACATTTTAATATTTTTTTATTTTACAAGTAGACTTTTCAAACAGTTCTTTTAAAAATATTTTGGAGAGCACATCCGTATGGGGGTACTGTTGGAAGAATGAAGCGTGATTAAATGCTTCAGATGACGATATAACAAGTATTATCAAAAAGCTGCAGCAGTCAGGTGATGTCCCAGTCTAGACAGGGGCCTCCAGCACACAATGGACATTGGCCTGTTGGAGCAAGGCCAGAGGAGGCCATGAAGATGATTAGAAGGATGGAGCACCTCCCCCATGGGGAAAGGCTGAGGTAATGGAAGTTGTTCAGCCTGAAGAAGAGCAGGCTTGAGTGTAACTTTATTGTGACCTTCCTGTACCTGATGGAGCCTACAAGAAATCTGGAGATGGTCTTTGTACAAGGCCGTATAGTGTTAGAACAAGGTCATTAGGCTGAAAGAGAGCAGGTTTAGATTGGATATTGGGGTGAAATTCTTTACAGTGAGGATGGTGAGGCACTGGAACAGGTTGCCCAGAGAAGCTGTGGCTGTTCCACCTCTAGGAGTGTTCAAGACCAGGTTGGATGGGGTTTTTAGCAACCTAGTCTAGTGGAATGCGTCCCTGCTCATTGCAGGAGGCTTGGAACTAGATGATCTTTAAGGTCCCTTGTGTCCTCAGGATGCTCAGGTCTTGTACTAATGATGTATCAGAACAAAACTGATTTAAATGTGAATTCAAGGAATGTCTTTTGTATACATCACTGCAATATGTAGTTTTCTCTTGCAAACCTTTTATGCTTTTCCTGTTGCAGTTCTTGCTTCATTTTTTTTCCTGCTTAAGGAATATAACAGCTGTATGGGTGTTATCTTTTTCTCTTACTTCTGGACTAGGAAGCAGAAGTGGTAGTTTTATGACAATACAACACTCCTAAGAGCAATCAACTTGTATAATTTTCTTTAGGGGATCATCCCTTCGAGAAAAAAAGAGTAAATGCGCTTTAATGTTAATTGGAACTTCCTTCTGAAAACACTGTTTGTGGTGGTGGAGTCTTTGGGCTCCAGTGAGAAGAAGAAAAATTCACATGTCATTAAGTGCCATTGCCATTGAAAATAACATGCTTCTGGAAAGGATTGCATTTCCTAACTGAAGTATAGTTTGGGATAATAGCATCTCTAGTTTATTCAAACATGGGATTTGTAGTGTTCCTGAGAGTTTGAAATCAGAGAGGTCACGGGTCTTTTGTTGCTTTATCGTGTGGTGCTACTTTTGCCTAATCTACTTGCACTGAACATATGGAGTATTTGAATTTGGAGTAATCCTTCTGAAGAAGTTGTGACAGCAGAAGAAAAAGTGTTAAAGTACCACTCCTTTTTGCTTAACCAAACATAAACAAATTCTTATGTAAGTGATGAATAAGGACCCTTGCAGGAGGTCCTAGATAAATACCTCCAACCATAGGGAGGAACAGGTGGGAATTTAGGTTTTGTAGAACTGGGGGTTAGCCTAGCTCCTCTCCCCTTTTAGGATGTGCCTGTACATAGCAATTAGTTGTACCCTGGGAACAAGCAAGAGGCATGTGTGCTTTATTACTCGTGTTTGACACCATTTTTATTTGAATCTTGAGAGATGCAGCTGGTGGATTGAGGACTTTGGTTTCTTGGTATTGGTAGCTGCAGAAGGAGCAGGAGCTCTCTTTAATCTTGTCTTATGTGCATGCATATGAATACACATGCAGGAGGAAGCAGACAAGGGGACTGAAGCACTGATGGATCAGTCCTTTGGGAGAACAGATTTTTCCTGTAAAAGAAGCAGTAGGCACTGAGATGACAAGGAAGGCACCCTGTGGAGGCTACAAGAGCCGGATTACATATAGATTATACATGCAAAGCTGAGTGGCGAAGTATTAATCACCTGGGCAAATACTGAGTTTCTGCAATTTCTTTTTTCATCTTGTATATTAATAGCTATACAGTGGGCATTTTTGTTTGAGATAGAGCTTTCTTTTTGCCTGCCATTCCTGGTCCCTGTCCTAGTCTTTTTTTGCATGCTCTGCATAAAGAGTCCTGATTAGTAAGATCTCACCAGGGCTGGATCAGTTTGATGTGACTGTGTGCTGGTGTTTTGAATTCAGGCAGTAATTGTCTAAAAGACTCTATAGGCATAGTAAACTTAGAGGTTAGCAAAATAAACTTTGCTGATTTTTCTTGTTTGATAATCATGCTGGTTATACTGAGAGGGGCAAAGTAAGGACAAACAAATGGTGTTGCTCCTGCAACATTCAAACCAATGCACATGTAATCAAACAGTGAGACAAGTGGTCTGTAACTGGACTAACGGAGCTGTGAGTGTGTCATCGGAGTTGTGTACCAACCATTGGCCTCAGCTTTTGTGTCTCGGGGGAGAATTTTTGTATGACTTTGTTCCTTTCTAAACAGAAGTGTAAGTTTCCCATTGGTAGCATTCTTTTTATATTTGTGAATTCCTTTAACCTGTATCAGAGTTCCTGGTCTTAGCTGTGGTAGTGTTTCATGATTTAAAAAGTCTCTGAAGGCAGACTGTCTAAATATGGAAACATATGCTTTACGATTAAGCATTTTTCCTGATTGCATGCCAGTATTTCATGCACAAAAATTCAATTTGTTCATGCAGTTGTGTAATTCTACATTCAACCTTGTAAGCAGTGTTTCCATGTGACGGTGTTAAGGCCGTATTTTTGTTACTAAAATAAGTGTAATTTCTGTTGAACACTGAAAAGTGTAAGTCAGTTTATTTTCTTTCAGAAACTCACGAGTGATTACATAAGCATTTTTTGCAGTCTTCAGTGAGGCTTTTTGTATAATTTAAAAATAATAATAACAATTTACATAGATGACACATATTTTACTAAACTGTAACAATGATGTGTTTTTTCTTCCCCTCCAGGAATTGTGGTGCTTGGATTAAACAGATCTTATGCCAAGAATGCACTTAGCAAAAATCTTGTAAAAATGGTAAGTGAAAAGAATAATTTTTAGTATAAAGGTGAAGTATTGGAATGAAGCACTTTAAAAAGTGTTTGGTTATTCCCCTTCCTCCTTTTCTCTGTAGATGTCAAAAGCTGTGGATGCTTTGAAATCTGATAAGAAAGTACGAACTGTTATATTCCGGAGTGAAGTCCCAGGGATATTCTGTGCTGGTATGCAAACTTAATTTTCCTGAGAAACTGGAAATCTGTATCTCATATTGCACACACGAATAAAGGCCCAGATTCCAAGGAAACATGTTTTTTCCATGTATTTGTCTCAGTAGCAAACAAAACATTTTTGTATGCTTTTCCTCAATTTCTAACAAGAACCAAATACTGGGTTTATTCTTTCTGTGTCATAAAGTATTTCAAGATATATAATAGGTTATTCATGGTGGTGAAAAGTCATTTAATTGAACTCCTAGAAAGTCTTGCATGTCCTTCAGAATAAGGTCCTAGTAATGCTAGAGGCCGTATGAAGAGGCTTCGTAGGAAGCTGTGTCAAACCTGTATTTTGCGCATGTTAAAATGAACTGTTAATTAAAGAAACATACATGAACTTAAAATTTCATGATGAATGTGAGTGTTACTGCAGGCTGAATATATTCTCAAATTAGAAACAAAAGAAGCCAAATCAGAAAGCACACCCCCCAGCCCACATATCAAGCAGTACATTGGTCTTGCCAAAGTGCTCAGGAAAACAAAAGCTCTTAGCTACCAAATGCTGGGAAACAGAATTTGTCAACATGTCAAGATCAATTGATACAACAGTATCTTTTGTGGATTTCAAGTGAATAGCCTCCTTATTTTCAAATGTTCCACCCAGGCCTTACTTTGTTCAAATTTAATTTAAATCCATTTCAAACTGAAAACAGAAGTAAGTCAGTTTGTTCTTTCTAATGTACGAATAGAACTGTGAAGAAAGAGGAAAACAGTTCTGAATTTTTTCCTTTCTGATCATTAATGTAGTAATTAATATAATTATTTCAGTTTTAAATGCAAAATAGTTCTTCCAGTTTTTTACATATGTACCATACCAAGATACTTTTAGGTGAGTTTAAAATTCTTTCTGTTGTTTTTAAGCAGTCTGTTTTTATCCATATACAGTTTGTCACACAAGACTTGTGAAAAGAATTGTCTTGAGAAAAGGGAGTAATCTATTCAGTATTTAGTAACACATATAAATAGGTTAAATGTGTGGGTATTAACAAGCATATTGAATTTAAAGGTTGTATCTTGTTTTAAACAAACAAGTTTTAAAGATCAATTACTAGTAATCTCATGGGAAAAAAGTTTGAAAGCTGTAGTTTTTAAACTGATGAAGAATGCAGCATCAGACCAACATATGCAAATGGGGTTTCAAGTTAAGTGTCACGTGCTGCAGATAAAAAGGTAGTCCTTACCTTAGCTGACATTTGTTATCAACTGTTGGGGTTTTTTTAAGCTTTATGTAACATTCTTGAATTTTTATGATAGTGTTGTACAGGAGAGCAGAAATACTGATTTTGAGGATCCCAGGTATGCTACTAGTATTGCATTTATAAGCTCCCAATACTTTTCCAGTATTCTTTGTTGGCTATTAAGAGCTCATTAGGTATTAAGATTTAACATAGTCCTTGTTGCATTCTTCTCTGGCTTTAAAAAAAAGGCAACTTAAAGTATGTATATACAACTGGCCGTAGATAAGATGCAAGGTTGGTTATGTCTGGGCATTAGGAAGGAAAGTAGACCCTGAAAAGAAGACTGTGAAAGACAAGGGCTGGATAGCGATATCTGGCTCTTAAACCAGGGAGTAGAGATAGGTTGTGGACTAGGTGTCTGGCAAATTTTAAGCAACTGATGGGTAAAATGAGAGTCCTAAGAAAGGAGACTCCTGCAGCTAAACCAGTGAAATAAAGGATGTTGCAACAGTGGTAACTGAAATTCAGGGTGAACCTGAATACTTGAGGGAGAGTTTGTCAATGAAAATAGGCAGAAACTGCTCAGTGGATAGATTGACTGCTTCGGTAGATAATTTTAATTCTAAAGAGAATGGAAGTAGAGAAACCATAGTGGGATGTGGGGAAAACCTGGTAACAGCTTAGGGAAGTAGGATGAAGGGAGGAACATACTGGATGTAAGAATGCATTTTCCGGAGGGGACTCAGGAAATTTGGCAGAACAGAAGAAGACTTATTCAAACAAAGGGCAATGTGTTGTTTCAAGAACACTTAATTTCCTTAAGATATGTAAAGATCATCTTGTGAAATGTCACATTTTCTAATGCATTGTAGTGCTATTTAGTTAGGCTAAACTTGAAATGTTTGTTTTACTTTATTTTTGTGTTTCCTCAATTATGTTTTCTGGCTTGCATGTATGGGAATGTAAGTTTTTTAAGATACATTTTTATGATGTTTTTTTTGACCACATTCTGATGCTTTACAGACTGCAGATTGAGGAACTTTGTCCTAGATTGTAATTCCCTTTTATGTGTGGAATGAAATCCAAGGTCATTGAATCTTGCCATTCCTCAGCTATCAACAAAAATCTGTGAAAGCCACAAGCCAAGTGTCGTGTTTCTTTCTAAGGGCTAGTCCACAAAACATGACATCCAACCGGTTTTGACAAAATAGCATTGTGGCTGATGAAAAGATTTAAACTCAGATGATGACTGATGTGATTCCAAATTGTGGAATTTTCACATGATAAAATGGGGGGGAGAGAGAAGAGGAATTGTATAAAAGAGTATAGAGATGTTCCAGCAATCCTATCCTTTCACTTCAGCACAAAAATTCTCTTTGAATCTTTCACTGCAGTTCTCTTTGTATCTTCTTTCTTATACTCCATACATCCATGTGTACAGAACGTTCCTCATTAATGCTCCAGTGCTGATCAAAAGGGACACCTAGAAGCCAAAGAATAACTTGACTTGCATTATGTCTGAGGGCTTCTTGCGTTTCCATTAGAAATGCTCTGTCACTGAGTCACTTCTCTGGCTCAAAACCAGTAAGTAAAGTGTTGGCCTGGTGAACACGTGTGGCTGGTCCTGGCCTGTGTAAGCTGATGCTGTGTACCTGCCCAGTTCTACAGCCAAAGCAGGTGAGCCTGTACACAAGTCTTTTTATTCAGTGTTCCATTCTTGAGGAAGGCACAGTTTTGTGCATAGAATAAGGCAGGTGTCCCATGGGTAAAACGTCTGTGGTCAAGTAATTCCGGGCTGTGCCGTGTTCACACAAGTGGCTGAATTACATTCACATAGGCAGTTTAAATAGCTTCATTTTTCATTATTAATGTAATTTTAACTTAAGTGTGTTAGTGGTATTGCTCAGGTAGCTTTCATGAGCAGATTTTCAGGATTTTTCATCTGGAAAAAATTTCTGAAGTGTGTATGCATAGGGAGATAAGGTAATGTGAGGAAGGGAGGAGGGAGTGTTCACACAGGTTGTTGCAAAACCTGATTTTGGAGTGGCAGTTCACAGAATCACAGAATGGGCAAGATTGGAAGGGACTAGAATGGGGTCAGGTGGTCCAACTTCCCTGCTCAAGCAGGGCCATTCTCAAGACAGTCTTCCAGCTTCTTCTGATTTTAACTACATGAGGTCTGAAAGGAGGCACAAATAAAATACATTGCCCAAGAGCTACTTTTTATGTTTTTCGAAGTGCTTGATAATGTTTGAGGTCCAAAGAGCTGAACAACCTAATATTGCACCTTAAAACTTTTGTTGTTCTGTTTCCTAAGGCTTTGGATAAAAGGCAAAATAATATTTATAGAATTTGTAATGATTATAGCATTTTACATTTGGAAAAGTTGTTTTGGCAAGCTGAAGCCTGCTGCAGGATTCCAAGTCTTCTGCTTTCCCTCCCCTCCCATCTTTCCCAGTCTTGTCGGTGTGTTTGGTGGTGTGAAATGCAGATTATGCTATATTTTACAATTGCAAACTATGGATATTTGAGATTAGGTAATATTCTGAGTAAACAGTTTTGTATGTTGATGGTTGCAGTGATAAAGAAGCAAATTCTTTTACATTCTTTTCGTTCAATCTTTTCACTTGTTGTTCCTTGTACTACTTCCCTTAAGACTATCATGTTCCTCCGACCCACATGTCCTGTCAGGAAGGCACTTGCATATGTGTTAAAAAATTTATTCCTCATGTGTTTGTCTCAGAGAGTAACTTACTGGCCTATAGTCCAGTGGATCAGTTTATGGCCCATACTAATAAATAAAACCCCTTGCTGCTGTTTTACCATTCAGAGCAGTTCCTCTGGTGCCTGGCCAGCCAGGACAGTTGCTTAACTCCGACTGTCCCAGTCCACTCAGAGATTGTTTCTTTCCTAGAAGTCCACATGTGGATTGTCAATTTCCCTGCATCCATCTGTTCATACACAGAAAAATTCTGCCTTCTTATAAAGGAGAAGAATGAAGTGCTGTGATTCCCTTGAGATAGATCACTTTGGCGTTTTCTCTTTTTTTGCATCCTAACATAGTTAGGAGATCTTTCTGGAACAAGAACTTGTAACTTCTTGATTTTTTTTTTTTTTTGTGACTGTGTTTAGACTATGAGTGTTAAGAACAGTCTCTTCAATGTTCTTGTTTCAAAGTGAACTGGACTAACTGAAATAGAGGCTGTGAGATTGATGGGTTATTTGCTTTGTGTATGTGTGCCTACAAAGAGACTGAGCTTTGGGACAATTCTTAGTTATTTGCAAAAATGTTGTTCTTTGGAGACCTTATTTCAGAAATCTTTGAGACATATCTGAATATGGACAGTTACAATTTTTTTGTTGAAAGTGTCTTTCAAGAAAATTTTAAAAATTTGGGTGTTGAAGCTCTTTATACCACTTTGACCTAAAAGTCACTGTAGCCTGGCCAGTAAAACCCTCTCTTGAAAAAGCAGAAGTAATCCTTCTGCCAGCAAAAATTTGTCATTTGAATCTGTGGTGTGAGTAAGGCCAACCCCAATGCTTTTCCTGTTGGCATAAATTGTCTGCATCAGAATTTTATTTCCAGCAGGGCTGAATTGGCTGTGTGGTTCTACTTCCTGGCTGCCATTTCCAGCTGGTGTAGTTCTTCTTGCAGAAATTTATAAAGCAGATAAGCTGGGTAGAACAGATCCTTGAAGATTTCTTTGTTTATGAGGTTATATTGTGGAGCAGGAGAGGAGTTTGATAATAGCTCTCAAATACTTGACCTAC